AGAAGGAGAAGGAGAAGGAGGAGAAGGAGAAGGAGAAGGAGAAGGAGAAGGAGAAGGAGAAAGGGATGTACAGAAAAATTCTACTAGAGCAACTGTTCTAATTTGCAAATTTTACTTCACTTTTCAGAAGGAATAAAAAATTAGCCTATCATATCCTACTCTTTAATACCAGTTTTTTAAAAAAAACATTTATTCAGTCTCTACATAAATGATCCTATTTTTAAAAGAAAAATTGTCCTTTTTGCTATGTAATCTGTTGAATTTTATTGCCATATATCCTGTTACTGTCAAGTTATCATAAAGTATAAAACAAAGCAAACTATACTGTATCTTCAAATTGCCATCTACAGTTATAATAATATAGATGCAATGCATAAATAAATATCCATCACCTACCTTGAAACTGTGTGAATTTGATGGTCCCCATCCTCTCTCCATTTCTGAACATAACTTGACCCTAAATAAAGTAAATAAATACCTTATAATAAGGTTTGTGATATCCTTACACAACTCCAGTTTATTTTAAGTAACAGTAAGATTAATTTTCTAATTCAGGGGTAGACAACCTTGTGCCCATGAGCATTGATGCCCATGGTCCTTTTCCTTGGTTCTCATCAGACTATCCTCCTATCTACATTTTTTTTAAAAAAGTGTTCTAGCAGTAATAATAATAATACAATGCTAAACTACAATGCATCAGCCTCCAGTGTCATCTTTATTTTCAGTAATGTCTCTCGGCCCATATAAACCATGCAGGCATTCTCAGAAAGTAAAATGGCAGATGTTTGCAGCTCAGTGTTTAATTTGGCATTATGCCTACCTTCCCAAAAAGTAGATAAAGGATTGGAAGATCGACTCCTGTAGGATTACAGGAGTGCAAGGAAATAACTGCACTAGTTTGCCTTCTCATAAATGGGTATTTTGTGAATCTTCATGCATAATCTGGCAGCCATTTTATGAGAACATCTATAACATGTCCTCTAAATTCTAAATGTATTTGCTTGGCTAAAAATATGGTTTACCCCTGATTTCATTAAGTTGAAAATTTCTCCCTGATAACTGTGTATTTGAAAATCATAGACCTCAATAATCTAGTGGAGCTATATTTATAAAACCTATTTTATAATGTGATATAATACATATAAGGAAGCATTGAGATAGAGGCCATAGTGGATGATATATATAACAAAGACAACTGGTCCTACCATACTGAATAGCTAGCCAAACCCAGTCAATCATTTTAAAGATATATCTTCCAGATTGCAAAAGCTGGTGTGTAAATAAATTACAACCTTTCAAGGTTGAAAAGCAATCACACGCATACATGGGAAGTTAATTATTTTACCAATTCCATTGCAGACACAGACTCACTGCAAAGAAAGGTGTGAATTGTAAACTACTGCTGTAAGCTCTCAAAACAGGCAGGGTTTTAAAAATATGCCATAAGAACATGAAATTTAATTGAATGCAAATAACAGAGAGGATTTTTTTGTGTGTGCTTTGGCCAAGCTAAGCAGGTGCTACATTAGAAAAGGAATCAATGAGCTTTTAAAAAGGTTTTTTAAAAAACACAGAGGCCTGGATCCTAAATTTAATTCTGTGAACAGAATGGAATTAGGAATTTTACCACTTCCCCCTGCTCTTGGGAGCTGTGCACTAGAATCACATACAGCTCCTTAAATTCCTCAGAGTCTCTCTACAAGTTGCCATCTTATAGTAGTTTTTAAAATGCCATCATAGGGTATAGTTTGTTGAGCTGCTGATGAAAGAAGAAACTAGGGGAAATCAGATTCTTTACTATGAACAAAAGAAAAACAATGGATCTAAAGAATACTTCTTACTTCTCCTTACTACTCTGTAATGTCCCCAAATATAGCCTACATTATACACTAAGCATATTCTGCCTCCGTGTAAGATCAGCACTATCAACAGATAGCCCCTAAATATGAGCATTGGAATAAGCATGTCTCTTAATTGATCTCTTATCAGCTGGTTGCATGATATTTGAGGCATGGTAACTGAAAATATGAATTGACTCCACTGGGAAGTATTGCATCTGATGCGATGTTGAGTCATATGAAAATTCTGTTAATAGGGATAGATATATAACGGCTGTTCATGCAAAGAATCCGTCACAGTGATAAACTGAAACATCTGTGTACAAACTAGTTTTGAGTGAATTGGGGTTGAAAGAGCATCATGTGCTAGATTAACAGTGGACATAATGGAAGTGTTAGGTTGAGTTGCACTTTTTCCTGAACTGGTGTGAGCCTTTCTGGAGCCATGTTGTTAACTCTCCATATTAAATCTGTAAACTGAGACTGAGTATTGTTTCCGAGTTGTAAACAACAATTAGGTCAACCCAGGTGATTTGATTTTCCCAAACACTGGTTCCAATGTAAAGAAGTACACAAGGATTTAACTCAAAAGATATACTGCGCAGCACATACCTTGTTACAATATTCCACTAGCATAAATCAATCATTTATAGAATTCGCATTTTCATCATTGCTTTGCTAAGTGATTTGCTTTTATATACTAGAAATACGACGTATCCCAAGAAATGATACTAGATGAAGTAAATCCAGGCTGTTCAGTGTAATTACTAATATTCTAGCAGCTCACAATAAAAAGTACATATGTGTTACAAAACTAAACCTACAAAATGCATGAAGCAACCGTTAACAAAAAATAACATTTTAATAGAATCAACAGAACCAGAACCAATTTGAAGGCTAAAATGAAAATTGAGTTAAATGCTGCAACAAGGCAATCATAATTCCCCAACAAAAAATATGAATTTGAGCAGCTTCACCAAGATTTATTTTCTTGTGAATTGTTTATTTTGCTTCTTTTTTTTCCCCCACAGGGAAAAAATGTGTACAAGGCATGGTAATGAACCCCCAACTCCCATATGCTGAAGATCTTATCCGGCCAATGTTTTAGCTCTGAAGTACTTTGTACCAAACATAAATCTAGAAATTTGCTTCATTCATTCATTCATTCATTCATTCATTCATTCATTCATTCCGTTTTGATGCTGTACAACTCTGGGCAGCTCACAAAGTAAAGAACAGCATAAAAACAACACGTAAATAAGAATATAACAAAATTAATCCAAGGCAGAATTACAAAATACTTGTAAGATGGCAAACCAGGCAACACGCCATCTTTAACAGAGGCGTCCATCCACCGTACCCAAATTCCTGGGAGAATAGTCAGGCTTTCAAGGCCTTCCAGAACATCATCAGGGTGGGAGTCATCCAGATCTCAGGAAGACCTCATTCCAGATGGGAGGTGCTGCTACAGAGAAAGCATGCTTCCTGAGTCCCAAAAGATGACAGTGTTTAACTGAGGGGACCCAGAGCATGTCCACTTTGTTGGATCCTATTGGCCAGGCAGAAACCAAAGGACAGAGGCAGTCCCTCAGATAATCCAGCCCTTTAAAAACAACAACAATAACAACAAAAGTGCAACACCTGAGATTCCCAAGAATTTGGATTCTGCAAGCCAAAGCCACAAGTTGCTATTTGTTCACCTCCATGAAACTGCAGCATAGTCTTTTATGTAAAGTCAGTCAGGCTTCAATGTAATAATACATACATTTTGAGAAGGTATAAAAGTTATATGTTGCATAGGAGTTTTGGAAGATCCAAGAGAAAATCAAGATATATATTGTACTGTTTGGACAACAGTAATAATGTATTTTGTCCTATGATGTTATAATTATTTCCATGACCATGATTTACATGACAAAGCTCACTGCAAATGTCTTGAATGGGTGGTGTCCAATCCAAATGGCTTCTAATAATTCTAATCATGACAGCATGGTAGTAGGTTGATAACCATATGAAGGAAGTTGCAACAGCCAAATCTATGCATGAAGAGCAGTAAGGGTCCTAAGAAAAAAATAAGCTATATCACCAGGTTGTGGGTTGGATTTACCATTTAAAACTTCCTACTCCCAAGTTGAAGAGTAGCACATCAGTGAGAGGAGTCCTAATGAGCTCCCTGCTTTGCTATTTTCTTATTTTCAGGGAAGTCTTAAAAAAGAAACAAAAACTGGACTGGGAGACACAAGGTAAAACACACATGCGTGTGCACACACACACCCTTGTGCCTCCCAGTCCAGGAAAGAGTGCAGTTAGCACACAAGATGAAATTGTGCAAAGGCCTTCCTAGCCACAGCTGCCACCTGGTCCTTGAACAGGAGCCATGAGTCCAGGCAGTCCCCCAAATTGTGCACCAATTCTGTTTGGTGTAATGTAACCCTATCCAGAACCAGAGATGGAAAATTACTGCATACAGGGTGCCTTAAATGAAAGCTACTAGTCTTGTTAGGGTTGAACTGAAGCCCATTCTTCCCCATCCAGGCTCCCACACCCTCCAGACACCAAGATAAACTCCCCACAGCATCAGTTGGTGGCCCAGGGTAGAGATGTAGAGCTGGCATACTCATGATAACTCACCCTGTGCTGTCTGATAAGCTCCCTCAGCAGCTTCATGTACAGGTAGTCCTTGGGTTACAAAGGCAATTGGGAACAGGACTGCCATTGCTAAGCCATGTGGTCATAAAGTGTGACATCACATGATCACATTGTTTAAGAATGTCAATCCCAGGCAGTCCTGATTGCCACTGTAACCCTAAGACATGCAGGTCATTAAGCAGGAAGAGGCAAGAGTCCCAGGTAAGGAGCGTGGAGGTGCTGTGGGGGTAGGGGGCACTGTGTGGGGATGTATGAGGCTGGGGTAAGGTCTGAGAGGGCCAATGCAGGCTGCATGTGAGTTGGGGGAGGGCCTGGGAAGGCCAGCAGAGGCTGTGCATGGGCAGGAGGTGCTGCGGAAGGGTGCTGTGGGAGAAAAAGTGGGAGGGACTTGCCAGAACAACTTGTGACCTTCTCTGCCAGCTTCTCCATTGACTTTGCTTGTGAGAAGCTGGCAGGGAAGATTGCAAATGGCAATCATGCAACCGCAGCTCCCTGCAATGTTGTAATCGTGAGCTGGGTGCCTGAATCATGATCATGTGACTGCGGGGTTGCTGTGATAGCCAGAACTTTGAGGACTGGTCATACTTCCATTTTTTCAGTGCTGCCATAACTCTGAATGGTGCTGAAGAAATGGACATTAAGCTGAGGACTACTGTTATTATTATATTAGTTGAGAATCAAACATGAGGCACCCCACACAAAAGGGATCTTGGGTCAAACTTCTCCCACCTATCAAAACCAACTGGAACTGGCTGGAACTAGAGGAAAGAGGAGAACCAACACAAGACTGTACCCCCACTCCCAACTTCTGGAGTCAATCTAGAAGGATACCATGATGAATATTATTGAAAGCTGCTCCTACCAGAGGTCATCCAGAAATGGAGTCTATGCTGTACCCAGCATACCCAGCATGTATCCTGTACCCAGATGTGAAAACTGATTGAAAGGGGTCCAGATAGTTTACTTCCTC